CCGTGTCGTAATAGACGTCTAGGAATAGGTCGCGGCACTCGCGCCTCACCGCTCGGGAGGTGGTGAGGAGGAGGGCGGTCTCGAAGTCGTAGGCGGGGGGGCTGTAGCGCAAGAATTGGAAATCGACGAGGTAGCAACCGATCGGTTCGCCCTCGCCGTCCGTCTTGAACATGATGTTGTTGGACCACAGATCCCGATGGCACATCACGTTCCTCCACTTGTCGGACGGGACCACGAGCTCCGGCAATCTCGGCACCCATTCGCAGATCCAATCCTTTATCGCCCCGGCCTCGCCCCTCCCCAGACCCTCGTTCNACGGCGGCCAACGGATGTCGAATCGCCGGCCCTGATCGGCATCGCCATTCTCCCGGCGTTGCGCGCGGCTCTCGACTCGTCGCGTCGCCCACCGAACGCCGAAAATTTATACGAAACTTGGGCGTTGTAAATACGAGCGTTCGAGGGAAAACGTTGGAGAATGATTCCTCGACAAACACCGTGTCGTCTTATCGGTGCCGCGAAACTCTCAGATAAAACTACGGAACGATGCGTTGATTGGGGAGGGGTGGGGGAGAGGGAGAGAGAGAGAGAGGTCGGCGCGAACGGTTCAATGAGGCATTGTTTCGACAAACAATGTCCCGATTCTAATAATTTATACATCCCGTAAATCTGCCGGAAATAGATATGACGAGAGATGTGCGCTCCGCGATTTATTTATTGTTTTTAAGGGGAAGAGAGGAGGGGAAAGAAATGTTGCCACGCAACGATCGCGTGCTACGTTTCGAAGACGATATTTCTGTATAATTATAGTGATTTATTGATGTACAATAAGTTAGTTATCTCGAGAAAAATTTCTATGAATTAATCGTTTTATTATTGGAATAAAATTGGAGAAAAATTTCTATGAATTAATCGTTTTATTATCGGAATAAATAGAATCGATGAAATTTCGATTTTTATCTCGGCGTGAAATTCTTTATTCTCTTTTCTAGAGGTTTCGAAGTGGATGCACGAGTTTCGAAGTTTGAAATTACTCGAGAAAAAGGGAAAAAAGGATATTTTGGAGTCATTGTTGGAAATAACGAATAAATATGGAAAATTTTTTTCACGAAATAGTAACGAATCACGGGAAAAAATACGCGTCTGTATTTGGTGTTTGCAAAAGGAAGAACTTTTATGGATACGCAAAGTTGAAATATCAGTGGCAATAAATGGATTATCAATTGACGAATAGTTTTAAATCTTGGGACAATATGAAAGAGCAAAAGCGTAACGTTGGTTGGATGAATTGTTCGAGGTTTTCTTTTTTTCCTTTCTCTCTTTCTTTTTTTATCAACGCTATATAGTTATCGCGTTAAAGTTTCGACGAGAATGGAAGAGTTATTAAATAAACGTCCAAAACGTCGCTTTTGGCGTTCGTATCTCATAAATTACGATCAAACACGATCTTACACAATTAAACAAACGAAACGAGTTGGATAAATATTAGAAGAGCGTCGAAATGAAAATCCGATTTATCGACTTTCTTCGTGAACAACGCGGTTCCTCAATAAAAAATCCAATTTTTCTTTTTTTTAAATCATCGAGCAAATACAAATATATTTTTTTTTACACCGATAACAATCTTACAATTCTCGATAAATATATAGTATTGTACTTTGTTCCAATTTTTTCTTTCTTTCTTTCTTTCTTTCTTTCTTTCTTTTTTTTTAAATTAATTTCAACGTTTCCGCTTAAATCCCTCGAGTGGATAGAAAGCATACAACGCCTGATTTCTTTTGGGAATGCTTGGCAATGCTGATCCTTAAGGGATTAATGTCGGATGCGCTTTTAGCACCGCCAGCGTGGACGTGTAAATCCTGAAACAAATACGATATACCATGGAATTTTCCCGAGTAGATGTAGTATTCGCGCGAAAAGAAACGCGCGAAAGTTGGATCGGGAAATACGCTTAATTTTTCCACTTGGAGAAAAGGAATTGCATACATGCTCGTCGAAATTGTTCATCGTGAGTTTGTGACAACCGCTTCATTTCATTTTATCCATCTTTTGTAAATGTAATAATAACCTTCGTAATTCATTTGAAAAAAAGAAAGAAAATGAAGTGACGAAAAGAGAGGCTCGTTTCCGAAGAGCTACCTCATAATGATCGAATTTATTCGCCAAGAAATACGAAATTCTTCTTAGAAAGGAAGATCACATTTTGGATATCTCTTCTTCGTTACTTGACGCAAAATTTTCGAAGGGCTACCTCGTAATGTCGAAGCCTTGGTCGAATTTATTCGCCAAGAAATACGAATTCTTCTTAGAAAGGAAGGTCACACTTTGGATATCTCTTCTTCGTTACTTGACGCAAAATTTTAGAAGGGCTACCTCGTAATGTCGAAGACTTGGCCGAATTTATTCGCCAAGAAATACGAATTCTTCTTAGAAAGGAAGGTCACACTTTGGATATCTCTTCTTCGTTACTTGACGCAAAATTTTAGAAGGGCTACCTCGTAATGTCGAAGACTTGGCCGAATTTATTCGCCAAGAAATACGAATTCTTCTTAGAAAGGAAGGTCACACTTTGGATATCTCTTCTTCGTTACTTGACGCAAAATTTTAGAAGGGCTACCTCGTAATGTCGAAGACTTGGCCGAATTTATTCGCCAAGAAATACGAATTCTTCTTAGAAAGGAAGGTCACACTTTGGATATCTCTTCTTCGTTACTTGACGCAAAATTTTAGAAGGGCTACCTCGTAATGTCGAAGACTTGGCCGAATTTATTCGCCAAGAAATACGAATTCTTCTTAGAAAGGAAGGTCACACTTTGGATATCTCTTCTTCGTTACTTGACGCAAAATTTTAGAAGGGCTACCTCGTAATGTCGAAGACTTGGCCGAATTTATTCGCCAAGAAATACGAATTCTTCTTAGAAAGGAAGATCACATTTTGGATCTCTCTTCTTCGTTACTTGACGCAAAATTTTCGAAGGGCTACCTCGTAATGTCGAAGCCTTGGTCGAATTTATTCGCCAAGAAATACGAATTCTTCTTAGGAAGGAAGATCACGCTCTGGATACCCCTTTCGTTACTCGACGCGAGGCAAAATTAGATTGACTGCGTTCCACGAAGGACCGAGAGAAGTATCGGCCGATGCGCAGCCGATATAATTATTGCTGATCGAGTGAAGCGGCGTTCGTCCATGATTCCCTGCCGACCGACCGTGCATCGTCGCTTCTCGTCGATGTCGACAGGAAGAAGAGAAAGAAAATAGGATCCCTTTGAATCACGATCAAATCGTGATCAGTGTGCACGGCGAGCGTTATTTATTCGATTTAAAATTAACCGAGATCATTAAGCGTCTTTTGTTGGAAGGAAATCGAGGTAATATCGATGTTCGAGCAACGAATTGATCAAAGGAGATTAAATATTTATTCGAAGAAACCAATTCGAAATTCGTGTCCTCTCTCCCAATACGATTAATATTTGAACAGGTGACGGTTTTTTTCGTGCAACAAATTCACTTCGTTGGACTCCGGCCATCGTTAAACGGCGAAAGTTTGTGGCCGAGACGACTTTTTAATTGGCCGGCAACAACACAGGACAACGCCGCGCCCTCGTCTTTTTTATTTCTTTCCGTGAACAATCCCTGCCGTGAACAACGAAGAACGCGGCCACAACAGTCCGAAACAGAATTCTGATTAATTGACGTGGCTTTAATTAAACTTTTAATTAACGGGGCGAAAAAGAAAGAATTTAAAAAGTCGCCGCTTGGCCGTGACCCTGGTCGATTAACCAGCCACGACGAATATCTGGCCACGTTAATGCGCATAAATTTGCAACGAAATTTCTCCTTCGATCGAGATTCCGTCTCGCGAGTTGAACTTTTGATGTTCATCGACGCTTTTCTGCGGAATAACGACCATATAAACGAGAACGTCGAGAAAATTGTTGCAACCGAGAGGTTATGTCGCGTAAAATTAATATTTTCATCTGTCGCGAATATTCGATATGATAAATTGCTTTCTTGATACGTTTAATTCCATATTTATTCGCCATATTATTTATATCGCATTTAAAGGAATAATATTTTCACGGTATATTTCACGGTTTTCACGAACAATTGTATCGCATTCGCGAGCACGCGTTCTATAGGGAGTGTATTTCTAGGTTATATAAAATCCTGCTCGACTTCCTTTCGTTACTTTACTATACCTATGAATTTGAAGCGATCTCTCGATACCCTTGCATGAAACTTGATACCAGCTAGAAGTAGTAGGTATATTCTCGTACCTCCTTCTCGTGTCTACCCAGCGTATTCGAAAACAACGAATCGAGTATCGCGCTACTTTTGCTCGAATATGGCAAGTGGAAAGGTAGAGATACAGTTGATACCAATTCGCGATACATCCTCGAAGATAATGGATAAAATTGTCTACGCTTGGGAGAAGCGTATTTCGAAATTCATGGTAACGAAATTAAAATCGAAATTATGCTCTCGCGAGAGACGTTTTAATTAATTTGCAATACCGATTTCCAAAGCGGAAATTACATTCGAAATTGTGGTTAATTTGGCTTCGAATTTTCTACTCGTAAAGAAAATATTTAAGCTTTCCAGTTAAATCCATTAATGTTTGTTTAATGCGTTGTTTGTATTAATTATTAAATATAATATCGTTGAAAAGTGAGATAATGGCATTAACGAACCATTCGACGTTGGAAATCCGAGGTGGAAATTATGATGATAATCGTAAAACGTAAAAGTGTGGAATTCTCGATGCATGTTTAATGAAGGTTTTTCGAACCAATATTGGTTTAAATTCCGTATATGCAGGAGCAAACGTTATATGCACATCTGAAACGATTCCACCGTTTCTTTCGTTGATCTGTCCGACAGCGTGGAAATCTGTATTTAAGTCGGCAAAAAGATAGCCAAGGATTAACAGAAAATATACTATATTGGTTAGAATATAGAATGTTGATAAAAATGATCGATCGAATATAATTTTATGCGAGGAAATAATGGAAAAGTTATCAAGTTTGTATTTTATATATAAATAAATTTTAACTTGGTTTTGAAATTTGAGAACAAATTTCACGTGCCACTTCTTTTCAAGTTATATTCTCTTAATTCAAAATCGAAATTTATACAGCGAAACAAACGTAGGAAAGAATTGGCACTCGAAATTTTATCAAGTTTTATCGAAACATCATGATATACGTCCATCATGGTACGATCATTTATTTAATTTTATATTTTCTTATTCGAAAAATATATATATATATATAGTTTGAAAGAATTCAATACAAGGTTTTTCTTTTCCTCAAACAAATATTTTTTAAAGTTATGGAATTGTCATTTCATTTCTTCCTTTACTTTTGTAAATTATCGAGGGAATACATTTTGTTTATAAATTAGATGAAGAAAATAAATATAAAATTTAGTACAAGTGGCGCCATCTCGCGTTTGGACGCTGGAAGTTCCTACTAGTTACTAGCAAAGCAGGATATGCAAGGAGGTATTCGTGACGTCACAGAGAAGGAGATCAACGTGCGAGAAGGACAGATAATATCCCCCACCATTTCGAAAACGCTAAACATTAAAAATTGATTAATTACATATTTTTTACTAAAAATTTCTACACCTTTAGGCTCGTATCTTAAAGTTGAAGCTTCGCCCAAGTTTCTCGTGTTAATTTTAACGCGAAATTCTTTTTAATTATTCATCTATCAACAATTATCCTAGACAATGTTTCGATCGAAATTTCCTATTTCGTAACCTAGTAATAAATAATCGATTTGTTCGTTTAAATGAAAGCAGAAATATGAACAAAAATTATACGTGAAAATAGAGGAAGGAATAACGTTTCAAATGCGTGTATTTATATTTATAAATAAATTCTATAATAATGAGGAATTAATGAAAATCGTGTTAGGTATTAGCGGCGTCGGTATGGTCGGTAACATTAATCGTTAATAAATAATTAATTAAAAACGAATTCGCGTCGAAATTGACGCGAGAAACTTGTATAGAGTTCTAACTCTACAAGTTACAAGTTTAAAAGTGCAGAAATTCTTAGTAGAAAATTAAATTTTAATTATTTATTAACGAATAATGTTACCGACCGTACCAACGCTACTGATATGCAACGAATTTTTCATTAATTTCTTATTATTATAAAATTTATTTATAAATATCTATATATATATTTGAAACGTTATTTCTTCTTCTATTTTCATGTATTATTTTTATTCGTAATTACGCTGTTGTTTGAATGAATAAATTGATTATTTATTACTTGGTCACGGAGTGGGGGATTGCGGTCGAGACGCTGTTTACGATAAACATTAATAAATTATTAATTAAGAAAAATTTTGCGTTAAAATTGACACGGGAAACTTGTACAAAGATTCGACAAGAAGATGCGAATTTAAAAGTGCAAAAATTGTTAGTAAAAAACGAATAATTAATTAATTTTCAATATAGAATTTTCAAAATGGTGGGAGGTAGGTTAGTCTCTGTCCTTCTCGCACAAGTTCTCTCTTTGTCCGTGACGTCACGAATACCTCCTTGCATATTCTGCTTTGCTAGTAACAAATCGAAGCTTCCAGCATCCAAACGCGAGATGGCGCCACTAGTATTAATTTTTCTATCGCTTTCTTTACACGATTTGTACACAAAAATCACGCAATGATATTTCTATAATATTGAAAGAAATATGTCAGATAGGAAATTAAATTTTTTCGTTTCTTCAGATTGAAGAAGATAATTTTTACGTTAAATTTTAAATTAGTAATTCAAGATTGAATTGAAAAATCGATGTTATTTATTTATACATTGTACAAAATACATATAGTATAAAATAATATACAAATATATAAATATACATTAAATAATAAAACATAATATACAATATATATATTGATTAAAATACTTCAAAAAAATAAAATCAAACGTATAGATTATAAATATACGAAAATTTCAGATGAATGATATAATTGTTATCGTAAATGATAAACGTTCTTACTTATATCGTCGTTTAATTCGATCGAATAATAAATCGATCGTTAAATTATATAGAAGAAAATAGATTCGTCCAACAATAGACTCGTTTTAATTGAGACAAATCGGTTTCTCCTGTTTCTCCTCGTCAATGATTAATTCAAAGCCGGAGCGAGAATAAAATTCTTTGAGTTTACTGGATCGATGATACTTCTTGTCAGGGACATCGATTTGAACCCTGTTCGGTCGACCGTACGAGTGACTGGTAATCATCGGGATCTTGAGACCTTTATTCTCCCTCGAGATTTCCAACCAAATAAGACTCTGCTTGATACGATCGCAACGCGGCTTGCCGGGATCGAAACCGTCCACTTTATGAAGACGCTCGTACGCCCATTTCGTGCTGTCCTCTTTGTTATTGTTAAAATAAGAGATCGAATGTCGCGGAGCGAACGGTTCCAACTGAAATCAATTTCTTCCTCCGAGTGTATTGCGTTTCAGGATGATTTTCAATTACGTATTAATACTTACACGGAGGATTTATCAAAAGGAAAGAATTTCTTTTCAATCAAATTGAAAATATTTTTCAAAAAAAAAATAACTGGTTAAATATTAAAACAATGCAAAAGCTGCAAATTTAATCGAATACCAGAATTTTAATCTTGCATACATCCCCCGAAATATTAATACATAGACGTGGATAGGATAGGACGTGATATTTGATCGTGGATAAAACGGTGCATCACCCGGCCGAGATCTGAGACAGCGTTATCGAACAGCGGAAAGAAAAGAAAATTTCGTCCCGAATAATAGATTTCCCGGGCAATGCGGGAAATGGTTTTTCCGTATCTCTCGTACCGAGA